GATAGGGGTGTTGGGGGGGAAATAATAATAATAAGGTCAAGCCGAAATTAAAAAATATATATATAGCTCTGGCCTTCGTGTGTGGTCACCGGGCCCCGGAGGTCGGACAGCTCAAGGAGGGCTGTGATCCCAGGTAAGAGGAGCTGGGCTTTAGTGCTGGAGGGTGACAAGGGACGTCACCCTCGTGGTGAAAATAGCTCCCGGCTCCGTCTCCGCTCGCCTCTCAGCCCCAGGCCGCACGGCGCCGCCGTGTCGCCTGCCGGTGCCCGCGTCCCGCTCGCCCTCAGAACCCGTTGCCGCTGATGTTGATGGACTGGAGGTCGGCCACCTGCATCACGTTGATGCCGCTGCTGGCCAGGCGGGCGATGCCCTCGGGGCAGATGGCTTCCATGGCCACCATGTTGGTGGCGATGAGGGCCGAGGGGGTGGCCCCGCCGTTACCCTCCGCCGAGGCCCCCGTGTCCATGGGGACGGCGGAGACGTTCATGGCCACGTTGTTGGCCGTGCCTCCCTTCTTGTTCTGATGGGTCTTGATGTGCTTGGAGAGGTGGTCGCTCCGCATGAAGCGTTTGGGGCACTCCGGGCAGGCGAATTTCTTCTCCCCTGGGAGAAGGGAGGGAGAAAGGGGTCAGGCAGAGGCTGAGCCAGTTCCCCCTGCACCCAGGCTGGCAAGAAGGTGACAGATCCTGAGGGAAGAAGGTGACAGATCCCGGGGGATGAAGGTGACAGATCCCGGGGGAACCAGCATCCCGAGCCCTACCTGTGTGCGTGCGCTTGTGTCGCTGCAGCTCGTCGCTCCGGGTGAAACGCTTCCCGCAGAGGATCCAGGTGCAGACGAAGGGTCGCTCCCCGGTGTGCCACCGCAGGTGAGCCCGGAGGTGAGAGGTTTTGCCGTACACCTTCCCGCAGCCCGGCATGTGGCAGATGTGTTGCTTTTTTTTACCTGGATCCCCAGAGCTCCTGAAAGAGTCCAAGTGGAAAGAGTAAAAACAACCCTAAAAGCTCCAGCTGACTGGAGGGAGGGAGAACGGGGCCAAACAAGACGCTTTTGGGGTTTCAGCCTGCTCCCGGGAGTTCGGAGGTCGCTTGGGCAGCCCGGCGTTGCCGGATCCACAGCAGAGCAGCCTTACCTTCCCTCGCTGTCCTTGCAGTAGGGGCAGGTACATGCTTCTCTCCGCACTTTCCGTCCCTGCTGGGGCTGTGGATCCGGGCTGGTCTCTCCTTCCTCCACAGCCGCGTTCTCATCTCCCAACCCGTCTCCGCTCGTGCTGTGAAGACCCAGCTGAGCACCGTGGTCGCCTGGAAGAAGAACACAGGAGGTTACTGCGGGCTCTCGGTCAGCAAAGCCCCGACCAGCAGGAGGGAAGCGAGAGGGGCTTTCCCCGGCCTTTCCCCACGGCAGCCGCAAAGCCGGGAGGGTCTCGGCTTGATTAAGCTGAAGGAAGTTATTAATTGCAGCCTTCTCCCTCGGCTTTCTGCAGGCTCCTGTGTTTTCCAGCCCTGGCAATCCCACACCAAGCCTTCCCTAGAGCCCTGGGGCTCTCCCTGCCCTCCACAGCCCCCAGCAAAGCAGGGGGCCCCCCCAGCTCCCACACATCGCCCCACATTTTGGTCCACGCCCTCTGGTCCGTGTCCAGAGGAGAGGTAAGAGCCACGTCTCTCCGGAACAACACCCCCCCTACGTCACTCCAGCCACCTGCCAACTATTCCAGCTATTTCAGCTAACCTAGTGCAGAAAACAGAGCAAAAATGTAAACTGAGCAGCGCCGGCCAGCTCGAATTGGTGTCAGCAATAAAGCAAACATCAAAACACCGCTGAGGGAAACCTGGGCTTCTCTGAATCACACCCTGCTACTGACCTCACCGAGGTCCCTTTCCCCCCTTGTATTTTGGGCTGAAAGAGGCAGTTTTCCCTTTTCAAGCATCTCTCCACCTTAAACCTGATGAAAGCAACAATCCAGGAGCAAATCTACAGAGCAGATGCAAACCCTCCTGCCAACCACCGCACTCCCCCCCCTCCCCCCCCCCCCCCCCCCCCCCCCCCCCCCCCCCCCCCCCCCCCCAAAAAAGGCAGCGATAAATAAAGTGGGCTGGAAGATCGCAGTCTTCAGCAGCATCCATCAGCGAAGATATTATCGGCACGCGCTCACTGGTTAATTACTGCGATTACAGAAAGGGATATGTATATATAAAGTTGAAAAATCATCTGGCGCTGCTCGCGGAACGCGGTCCCTCCCTCTCCCGAGGAGCAATTCCCAATTACAAAAGCCGTAGGAACCGCAGGGTAGCGGTGACGAGCTCCCAAATGCAGACAAACATAAACCATTCGTAACGGGGGGGTTGAGGGGTAGGAAGTTTTTAAGCCTATCGGTTTTCATTGCCATTTTATTGCTCTACGCTTATGCTGTCATCTAATTGCTTCTCCAATAACCCCATCTACACTTCACAAGTGTTTTATTTCCCTTCAAGCTCCGCTGCTTGATTATTTTCATGCTGAAAAGCTGGAGCGGGCGCAGAGACGGCAGGCTGAGTAATCTCTTTTCAGCTGCAATTAACATATGCCAATAGGTCTAACGGCAGATTTAGAGCCGAGACGCTTCCGCCGGACGGGCGGCGGCATCCTTGGCTGGCTACAGGCTGCGATTTCAGCCCAAAATTCACCTTTTTCCTACCAACTTCCTCGCAAGCAGGCAGCCAGGGTTGAGATCACTGCCTGAACGTGGTGGTGGTTGAACACAGGGCTGAGATAAAACACCTGTGTGTGCAAACACACACGCTTGTCCCCAAGAGCAAATGACGCTGCGCTCTGCCACTCTTTCTGGAGATCCTCTCCCACTGCCGGGAAATGAGGCTGTGTTGGGATGGGTCTTCTCCAAAAAACACCCATCTGGGGGCTTTCCTGATGCTGTTTATCAGCAGCTGCCCAGCTGGCTCCAGCGAGGATGAGTTAACGGGAAGGACGGTGCCAGCCAGCCCTGAGAGAGGCTGATGGGGACATCGGGATGCAAGGGACGTCTTGGTGCCCTGGGAGACGCTGGTTCACTCACTCCATCTCCTCTTCCCAGTACCTGGAAGCTGCTTCTTAAATGGGGAGCACAAGTGTCACAAGACTGCGGTTTCCAAAGCTGGCGTTCCCAAAAAACAGCCCACGATCCTGCTGCCGGTGTCCTCCAGAGCCGTGTCACGACAGGGCTGCAGGAACGAAGGCCACCTCCCCGGCATGGGGACCGAGACGCTGCCACCAGCGGTGCTACCACAGGAGGCCACCGCAGCCTTTTGAGAAGCCCTGCTGGGACAAGTACCTTCAGCAAAGCGATGAAATTTGTTTTAAAAACCTGGTTTTCCATGTAGCAGCTTCTAGGCAGGAGGCAGCACACCAAGCATCCGCAGGAGAGGTGCCGGCGCTGAAGAAGGATGAACTTCAGACTTAGGCCGGCCCGAAACGTCCATTAGCTGCAGGCTGGGCTCTCTCCCTGCGGCCGGGAGGGAGTTTCACCAGGGGGGAATGACGAAGAGTTTCTGGCAGCGGGCAGCCTTCCCCGGGCCCCACGGCTTTGCAGTTACCAGCAGGTGTCAGTGGTGCCCTGGCAAAGCTCAGCGGAGGAGCTGGGGCACAGGCCCATGCTCAGGAAAGGACAAAAGCCACCAGGAATAGATGCCTGGCTACTTGGGGAACGGGCCAGCTCAGGGCCGGGATGCCCAGCAGCTCTGTGGTGGCACTGCCAATGATCTGCGCGGCCGGTGGGGGATTTATGTGCGCAGCCAGGCCATGCTCCATGTCTGGGCTTCCTCCAGCAAGAGGAACAGCTCCGATTTCACTCCTCTGGGCCATGGCGGCATCAATAGGAGCTCCGCTCTCCCAGGCAGGAGCATGCAAACAGGGAGGCTTGGAATGAGGGCTGGCTGCTCTGCCCCCCCAAATCCGCAGGGGTCCAGATTTCCTGGGAGACGGCAGCGCCGGGCAAGCCCTTTGCCATCGAGGACTGAGACACTCAGAGCATCAAAGCAAGAACCAGGAGAGACGGGTTGCAATCAAGGAAACGAACCCTGACTCATCCACTCGCCCTGTCTCTCTACTTACGTCACGCCGGGGCCGGTTTGTCCGCAGGGGGACGAGGCGCACGCCGCTGTCTAAGCAGAAGGTGGGATGTCGTCCGTGTTACGGCGAGGGGACGTGCTCACACGTCTGCACTCCAGCATCGCGTGTTAAAGGATGGTACCAGCCCCAAAGACCGTATAACCCTGCGGATGCCCTCCAGTCCGCACCAGGGCAGGAGGAAACGCCCGGCTGAATCACAGCCAAAAGATGCTGCAAATAACACCCGTGACCGACACACTCAGACCAGTTCAGCCCTGGGACGGGGCTCCTGCGCGGTGGTAGCATTAACAACCCCAACAGCGATGGTTGCCTGCCCTCAAACCGGGACACCAAGGTGGTAAGGAACATTGTTGGCCATCGAGTGACAGCGACCAGGCCAGGCCTGGCTGTTCAACGCCGCCGGGCAGCAGGAGGGAAATTCTTTGTCCCCCCGCAAAGGGGACACAATTTTGAGCCCCGTTTGGAAATCTTGGCTGGGCCCTCCCGTACCTCATCAGCAACATTCCTGCGCTCCCCGCAAAGTTTAGCAATTTTAGGACAAAACCTTTTCAGTCCCCCCTCCAGCTCTTGCAACATATGTTTACAGTCTAAAACCAGCACGGAGGGAACCAGGGAGGGGTTTTTTTCTTTTAAGCTTTATAAGCCAACGACAACAGCTTGCCTTACAGCGACAGATTAGAGATTTCCCTGTCGCGTATGTGCCGTCCGGGGAGAGCTGTTGTTAAAAGGAAGGAGAAGACATACACGCTCTCCCCAAAATACGCTTGGGAGGGGGAGAATCCAGCCCTGATGTCTTGGAATGGCTTCAATCTTCAAACATGCAAAAGCCTACGCAGCGTTTTATAGTCTGTTGGCATGTCATATGGAGGGGAAAAAACCCAAATCCTCCTTCTGGTAATCTATGGCTCGCATCTAATTAAGGTATAAATAAATTACGGCAAGAGAAGACAGATCTTGTACGTACACGCTTCATTCTTCACATATCAGGACGCGCCGAAGTCTCCAGAATATTGCAGTTTCAGGAGAAAGCTTGGTGGAGAGAAACCAGCTGGATAATTTACGTTTATTATCTCCACTAATATAGATTACTTCTAAGACCAAAGCTTTCATGAAGGCTGCCAAGCCCCTGGTCCACGCTCAGGTCATTGAAATCCTGAAAAAATATATTAATAGCAGAGCAAGGAGGGGGTTTAATCCTTGGAAAACCCTGGGAAGGACTTGCCGGTGAAGACAGGCGACAGGGGCAGGAGCTGACCCCGCTCTGCTGCACCCGGCTCCTGTACCTGACCTGTCTTTGCCCGAAGGAGCCCGCGCTCCGTCAGCACGGGATGGGGGTCCCGACCTCCGAGACCCCCGAGAAGAGGGGTAGACGTTTGCCAGTCTCACACTAAAAAAGACCAAAGCACCCGAGTCTTGGTTTGTGACTTCTCTCAAGACAAGGTGTTTCTTGTCTTCTAACTGCTCGTCGGAGGAAAAATGCTTCGGTTTAGTCGTTTTATTTAGCAAACTAAAACGAGGTGAGAAATGCCCTGTGGATAGAAGAGAGGAGCATTTTTAGATCCACCCCAGCTGACCTTAGGAGAGGGGAAACAGACTCGATGTTCATTTTTAGGGAGGATCTGGAAAAAAAAAACAAAACAGTTTCTTGTGCAAACTCTGCAACATTGGCAGCTGCAACTCTGCAGAGGCAGGAGAGGAAGAGGGGGGTAAGTCATCACCACGCAGAGCGGGGCACGCACGACAAACCGACGTCAGCTTCCAGACGCAATGAAAAGAGGCAAGAGGAAGTTTTAAGGCTAAAAGAAAGGGCAGCAAAACCCAGCGGCACGCAGCCCCGGGGCTCCCCAAACCTCTCGGCACATCTCCGCTCACGGCGGACGACAGACGGCAGGCATGAGCCTGAAAAAAAACCAACCCCAAAATCAAACCTTTGTAGCTCACAACTCAAGTCCTCCCCATTTCCTCCTCCTCTTCTTTTTTGGCAGAGTCTGAGAGCCCGGGGTGGCAGCGAGCAGCGTTGCCTCGCCGATGCTCACTGCTCTCCCCAAAACACACCACCACGCTCTACTCCAGACAGATCAAAGACAATTAAGCTGCACTTGCTACACAAAGGAACAAAGTAGGTTTTGTAATGCAGTCCCCTTGATTTTGATCTCGTTTGATTTCCTCACTAATTTGCAAAATGAGTTAATCTGCAGTA